AAGAACAGGGTGAAACAGACACATATGAATAGATTTCAAATCATTAGCCTGGGTTATCTTAGAAGAGCAGATTTTAATGGTATGTACCGCAAGCTGCAGATTAATCACTGTATCATATGGAAGAATTTTACTGTAGTGAATAATGTAGCGTGATATATACGTACAGTATGTATAAATAGGACTGGGGGCCTTATCTTGCACCCGGCACAAATGAATTGTACACGGACGCATGTATCATTCCAATTTTCTCCCGTGCAAAGCGGGCTTTTCCCTCAGATGCATGTTGGTAAACTAGGAAATGAACTTGCGCTCCCTGGGCGGGTCGTCGAAAAAAAGGAGGTGTGTTTCGTGCAAACATTCCCTAGTGCTATTTCAACGCATTCTCATCCCAAGGCGTCATATATGATGCTTTTGCCAAAGCGTAGACATCCAACGCACATTACACCCCTTAGCATCAATATAACACGCATAGTATGAGTAGGTATAGGGTTAGGGTTAGACCACTAGGAGGCGCCTTCTGGCCCATATATATCTGCGTCTCATATTGACGCTAAAGGATGCCATGTGCGTTGGAGAACTGGCTGGCTATTTTGCAGCTCCAGAAAACAATTCTGCCACTAACCTGAAAAAAAAAAACCTAATCTTACAGTAAGTCAGTGGCGCATTTTTCATAATGCTATTTTAAGAGGGCGCCTGCTTGGCCATAATGTAGCGGATGCACAACCCCCATACACTTTGATCTCTCATCAACACAGATGCAGCAGTTTTTATTTTTGCAAATCATACGTTATATCAAGGAAAAATGAACACATGAGTGAAATCATTGTGGTGTCAAAATCTAGCTTTCACATTTACCCAAAATTTTCAGGATAATTGTAGTAATGACGGTGTTGTGCCTAATTTCGACCCCCTGCCAAATTATTACCCCCTTCGTTGAAGACAGTACCTGATTGCCTAATCTTAACCCCGCCCTTAATCCTAACCCCTCCCCCACAACTCATCCTAAACCTACCAATGCTAGGGGGGTAATAATTTGGCAGGAGTCGAAATTCGGCACAACAACCGGATCAGACCTGTTTGCCCTATAGTGGCAAGACACATATGTATATAAGGACATCTGACAAATTAGTTTGTCCGTCAAAAACCATGAAAAAAAACATCCCCATACAACGTCTTTCACTGCCCTGACAAGAACGTTGGTCTCCTTGGCTGTGAACGTTCCTTGCACGCGTCTGGTAAATCCGCCATAATAATAACAATCCACCATGCTATATGCGCACCTGCTCTTAAAGGGTATGTTGGATGATGCTCTGATTGGTTTATTTCACGTTACGCCCAAACCACACCTATGAATAATGAGGCTACTTCAGACCAACCCCTTTTAAACTTGCGTCGGGCGCAAGAGTCATTTATCCCGCCGGAAAAATAAAAACAGCGCCCAAGACCCGCCCACAAAGTTACTTCGAGCTTGATACTTGCGTTTCAGATCGTTAAAATAGGGCCCAAAGTATTTTGTTGCAGTAAAGATGTTTAGTAGTTTTGTTTCAAAAGCCTGACCTAAGCATTCCATCCTGGTAGCAGCAGCAAGATAAAATGAAAGGAAAAGGCCACGGGCGAGAGCCGAGCAGTTTGTGTTAAGCTGTTTGTTTTGATTTTCTTTTCTTCTCAAGTGCTGTTCATAAAGTGGCACACTTGACAAATGAATCCAGAAATGTCTTCCATTCTGTAGAAACAAGGTTTCAGTTTTTAAGTCATGATTTTACCCCACACCAGGACAAATTGAGCCTGGAATTTATTTTCTGTTCCATTAAAATGCTGCACTGAACAAAACTTGGTAAATGACTTTCTAAGCCTTCTGGTTACTTTCTTAATACAGTACTATCAGGCTCTGCGGACAAAAATGAATGTCTCGGCTTTGAGAAGCAGTGTGGAGTTAAACAGAACAATAAATTAGGGGACATAAGTCTTCTCTGTTGGATCACAATTGGGGTCTGTTTCACAAGCACTTGCTGAAAAGAAATTTTGGATATGCATATGTTAAGTGCCTGCACATTGTGTTATTAGGGTCATTGGGAATCCCTGTAAATCAGTTTATTATTTATTTGTGCCAGACCCCACGCACACATGGCTACTCCCGTTTGCCTGATTTTACATTTCGTTTATAGTACCAAACAAAACGCCTGGGACTGTAATATTATATTTGTAATTCTACAGATTCCTTCACTTAGTGATGCTGTCTGAGTCACTAGTCTCAAAATGCCTTCCTCTGTTCTTCATTTGCCTCATGATCTCAGTCGACGACAGCCCCAGGACTAATTTACTACTCAGCATTTATTTCGTATGCTTATTTCACACCACTCAGATTTAGCTTTGGAGATTTTTTTAACCCTCCTGTCCGAAAAGGGTTTTTAAACTTTTCTTAGTGGGAGGAAATGTTAGTCTCCTCAGGCCGATTTACCTTCCCACAATTCTCATCATGTATAACCATTTTCATTTTCCAATTCAAATATGAAATGAGACGACCAGTTCTAACAACACATTCATGTAGGTCAGTGCCTCAGAGTGGAAAAAAACTCTGAGACAGAATCAAATTTTGTATGTTTTGTTTTTGTATTCATACTATTATAAAAGAAAATGTGGATGTTTATGTGTTGTTTTTGTGGATCATGAGGGAATCTCTGAATGCTTTGATAACATTTTCCCAATGAAAGCCTTTCCAAATGAACCTAAAATCTAATCTAGTCCTGATCATTACCAGATTAAATGCTGGAGGGTATTTGGGCATTGTCCTTGTTTCCTGTGGTCGTTCTATTTCATGCCAATTTATCCCAATGCACAGTTACTTGATTGGCTTCTGCTGAGGAGGCTAATTACCCATTGTTGGAATGCAGGATCTCACTTAGTTTGTGAGTGCACTCTCATCCACTTCATTAATGGAAGATGAAGAGGTGTCTGAAGGGGAAAGAGAGTGTTTGAGGGTGAGCAATAGAGAGAGAGTGAGAGTTAGGAAAAAGATTGATGATTTCTCATCAAGTGAGCCACAATCAGCTTTGTTAACTATAATAACAAAGAGTTTTATGGTTCAGTGTTCTTTTCAATAAACTGCATGGTTTTGCACTTCGCCCAACACATACTCTGAACCTATAGTATTTGAACACCTAAAATATTCATCTAAAATAAATATCAAAGAATTTTCTGACCTCTATGTGATAAAGTTCAATGTTTTTGAAATAAAACAAGTCTCTCATTCTCACTAAAGCTGCATTTATTTCACAGCAATACTGTGAAATATTATTAAAATAACTGTTTTCCATTTTAATGTAGGCCTATATTAAATATAGTGATTTTTATATTATATGGATTTAAATAATCAGTTGTGCTGCTTAATAATGTTGATGAATAGAACATTATAAATGTTAGCAAATTTTTAGCAAATTCCTTGCCGAATCGAAGGATTAATTTCTTTCAGTAAATATATAAATAAGTTAACTTAATGACCCTAAAGTGCGCGTGTGGTGTCCAAATACTTTTTGGTGTCACTGTGTAGTGAGACTACAGAAATGCTACAGTTCATAAACAGACTTCTAGTTCAGAGCCATTTAAAACTGATTTAATACTTATCCCTCTGCAGCCCATCATGGTGTCCATTCTTTGTGCCCACCAGCATGTCTCCCAGGAGATGCTCTATTCTTTTATAATGGGGCTTGGAGTGTCATAATAAGATTCAGAGCTCACTGTAAATTGGCTAAAAAAAAAAGTCTTGTGGCTTTTATGCACTTTCTTTGAACCTGTATTTAAGATGCTCTCATGCCTATGTGTATGTGTGTGTGGTACACAGGAAAGGGACTATCCAGTTATTTATTTATTGTAGGGCTGTTTTGCTTTTTGCTATCATTTGCTTTATCTCAACTCTCCAGAGAAGAGGTCAACTACCGGGGTCTCTTCATGCATCTAAGGAACTTTACGATTTTGCTCTCTATTTAGATGCAGGGAAACGGCTGTATATCAGAAAACTGCCCTCCCCTGCAGTGAATAAACCTATTTCTTAGCATTGTAGATGGAAGCCGGGACAGGTCGTGCCATATTTTCCTGTGCATTTCACATTTTCTGTCTATAGGGGACAATTTCAGAGGACTTGATTTAGAGATTTGTACTTTTGTTCTTCTTCTCTTCTGCTAGTCTAAACTGATAAAGATTTGTTTAGATCACCTAGTCATGGCGACAGCCATTGGAGGAGTGTTCTCAAGTTTTCAAACCAGAGATTCATCATGTTGCTCATTTTCAGCTGCTTTTTTTTCCAAATTGAAGCATACATACACAGAGCACTGTTGGTACTTGTTATTCCCACACACGTAACATGCCATCAGTCTACACCTACAACGCACAGCCTAACTGATGGGGTGAAAACTGCAATTACCCACATCGTTTTTAGACATTGTTCGGTGACTGGCTTTTTGAAGTGACAATTTCCCACTTGTACATCAGTAATAATATAATAATGTCATAATAATGACATTACATCACATTACCTTTGACAGGTGTCTTGAGTTATTAATACAGCTATAATATCGAGTAACCTCTGATCTGGTGAATTATGATGACTCCCTGTAGGCCAGTACAGCAAAGTGCGGTAGGTTCGCAGATTGTAGCGTATCATTTGAACTTGTGAACTCAATTACCTCTATTACCACAGAGATCGGGTGCTAATGGTTTCCTGAAATTGACAGATCTTTCCGTAACTGATCATTTGTGCGTCTTCCAATATTACAATGACGATATTCTGACTGACAACTGATATAAATTCAGCAAGTCAAGTCAACAGTGCTGTCAGTCACCATTTGGATGTAAATATTCAGCACAACCTTCAATTTTGTGCGACTTTAATTCCTATTATTATTTTATCTGAGCAGCTCTCAGTGATAGTCTTTTGTGTCTATTATCTATGAGTTCCTATTATCTGGTATTCATTGGTATTGTGTGTCTCTCATTGTGTTTTACAGATACAATTTCCATGAATAAGATCCTGAGCCAGAAACGAGGAACAGGAAATGCTATGGATATCCTCAGCGCAGTTGATTTCTCCTTCACATAGCATTTTGAGTGGATCTTTTCTTCATTTTTGAACTTCTAAACTCGTCTTCCCATACGTGGCCATCAGCGGCCATGATAGGAAGGAGCTCTGATTGATACAGGGGACAGGAAACGGCATCAGAGGATGGGGGCACCTGGCGGGCCAGTTGTGGGTGGGTTTAGCTCCACAACATCCTCCCTAGACCTCGTTGGCTGGATGGTCTGGCCTGGTAATACCACTGTGAGCCTGAACCAGAGCTTCTTCGGAACCGATTACAGCGTCGATCTCCCCTCCTCATCTTCTTCTTCTCCTCATGGGGTCGAAAGGGAAGTGATGAAGGAAAAGAACTGGCCAGCCCTGCTAATTCTTGTGATTATCTTTCTAACAATAGGAGGGAATATTTTGGTTATTTTGGCCGTGTCGTTGGAGAAGAAGCTGCAAAACGCAACAAACTTCTTCCTGCGGTCCCTTGCAGTGGCGGACATGCTGGTCGGCATCTTGGTCATGCCCATCTCGCTCATTAACATCCTGTATGGTGAGTTGACACAGGGATTTTCAAACTATTTAATGCCATGGACCCTAAAATATAAAGATTTCTTTCCCGTGTATATTATGAAAAATGATGAATATTATGAACATACGTAAAACACGTTTTACATTAATACTTATTTATTTGCATTTGAGCACTATATTACTCTGAATTTTTCTACGGTTGCTGTAGACCCCAATTTGAAAACCTCTGATTGAGCATAAAGCTCACATTCATATTCCACAACGTCATCAGAATTTGCAGTTTGGAGTGGTGTATTGTGGGTAAAGAGTTAAAGGGTTAATTTACCCAAAAATGAAAATTCTGTCATTAATTACTCACCCTCATGTCGTTCCAAAACTGTAAGACATTTGTTCATCTTCGGAACATAAATGAAGATCTTTTAAGGAAATCTGAGAGCTTTCTGTTTTCATCGACAGTCTACGCAACTACCACTTTCAAGCCCCAGAAAAGTATTAAAGGCATCAGAAATGCTCAAAACAAAAAATCACTTTATACAAAATATTCATCTCCAACACGTGTTCGCGTTATGTTGACACGAGAGCAGACTTATTGCGTGAATGCGCATAATATTTTCTAAATAATTGTGGGTGCAGATCACTAAAATATTCCAAGCTGGTCTTTAAGCCAATGTGCACTGACTTTCAAGGTGTATAAAAATGCAAACTTCTAAAATAACGCATCCCATTAGAAAGCCCCCTTCACCCACAAAATGTAGCCTCACGGGAAGCCACACTTCCCGTAATATAACTTTAGTGGCATTTCCCTTTAAAACCCAGGGGCTTTTTTCACTGGTGCGAGGCAGTCCTTCTCCTCCAAATAACACGGCTCATTATACAAATGACACGATAGAATATAGCTTGGTTAAATAACACATTTAATTGGTCTCTTTCCACCAAAACTCATGAGATGATAACTTTTATTTTAAAGAAAAAAAAGAGTAAGGGTTTAGGTTGATTTAGTTTAGAGATTGTACATGAGTTTAATCATGTATAGTACAGAGCACTGACAAATTTAGAAATAAAAAGGGCCAGAGGTGGCAAGATTTAATAGCTTTATAGCACTGTATAGCGTGAAGTCTCCTTTCACAGAGCAAGAGAAAGAGAGAAACAGGCCGTGGGGCGGCATATTTGGAGAGACAGAATCTTCTTTGGCATTGCTTTGCTCAGAAGGCCACAGAAATATTGCCTGTGGCAGAATTCAGATCGTTTTCCAGTCCGGCCGCCTCGGAGCAACTGAGCTGTCTGTTTCTGAGTAATTCTGGCTCTTGCTATTCATTCATGGGGCCACATTGTCTATCTCTCCTCAGCCATGGGGAGCTCTTTCAGGATGCGTCGTCACCTCGCCAATCTCTGGACATGAGTGGGTTTGCCGAACTCTCTCAAACTCCTTATATTGATTGCAGAACATGTCCTAACTTTAAATGATCTTAGTTGCTTGTCAGCTGTAGATAGTGCACATGATGAGCTTGCATTTATCAGTTTGAGAGGAGAGGCCGTTATTGATTACAAAGAGATATTGATCAGTACAGCATCCTGCAGGCCCTTAGAGCAAACAGATCATTGGAAAAAAGGCGATTTAGTTGCGGGAGAGAGAAAACTGGCATGGATCCATGCACATAGACACACTGTTATTCTAGTATCACTGATAGTACTGTTTGTAGTACGATAGTACAGTGGTGGGCCATCAGGGCAAGCAGGGCCTTCTCTACTGGCCCTGTCCAAATCAAAAATATTATATATATCATAAATATATAAGTGTCTGAACGTGTCTAAATTCAAATACTGTCTATTACGATTGTATTTCCAGAAAGAATATGTTTTGTTTGTTTTTTTTAGGCTGAGCTGGATTTTTGCAGGTATATGTAGCTACAATAACAATTTTCTGAAAAAATAACAGTACGATGTCCAGAAATACATTTTTGGGTCATTTTGGTAACATTTGTAATTTAATGAGATCTATGTTGTAATTTTCACTTGACTAAATGCATAGATTCGCCAACATTATTTGTGTACTTTAATGGTCTAGTGATAGAACTTTTGCATAACGTGTCAGAGGTTCTGGGTTCTAATCCGCACTGATATAGTTAGTTTTTTTTTTTTTCTCATTAAAACTGAAAATGTTTCTCATTGGTTGTAATTCAAGTACACTGTAAAAAAAAAAATATTGATGGTTTAACTTAAAAAAGTAAGTAACCTGGTTGCCTTAAAATGTTAAGTTCATTAAATTGGAAAAAGTGAGTTAATACAATGAAGTAGATTAATTTAACCATCAGAAACTCAAAATAATAAGTTATCTCAACTAAATAAATTATGATAAAGTTGATTTGACAAAAGAAAATATGTTGTGATAACAAATCTTGAAAATACTTTTTTACAGTGTAGGGACACATTCGTGTGCATTTTGTTTTGTGATTTAACTGGTACGAATGGAGATCTCCACGGTGTAAAGCAATAGATTGAAGAGCGTGTCCGTGTCAAGACTGTGCGTGAGCCAAAAGAGAACAATTGTATCCGCGGTAGGGGTGTAACGGTACATGTATTCGTATTGAACCGTTTCGGTTCGAGGCTTCCGGTTCGGTACGCATACAAACCGAACGATTGCTTGGACCATTTTTCTTGCCGGCAAAATTCGTGCTGACGCGGCCAACACAACGTTGCACAACATCCAAATGGCAATCGTAATGAAAGCAGAACGAAACTGCGCTCCTCGTTATGTGCTTCACGGATCGTTTATCAGTTCGGACCAGCAACATCTGTGCAGCGCGAGCCGATCTCGATCAAGCAACACTGTTACCACACCGCGCTAAGAGATCCGGTAAAGAAAACATTTGAATTCGCCACTGAGGTAATAACATCGCTGCGAGATCTAGTGAGATGCATTCACATTTCTCCGTTATTAACCGCAGATCTCTATTAGATCAAACAGCGCTGTCATGGAAACCAGGAGAAACATTGTGCTGTGAATGAACTAGTAACGTTACTTTACGTCCACAGACCAGCAACATTCACCATGGATTTAATATAGTAACACTAACTGGAACCAGTTTGGCTGGAATGGTGAAATGCTTTCAAGTACTTCACACATCTTTTTTCAGCACTTCAAAATTCAAATATTATATAAATAAATATATATTTAAATGTTATTTTTAATGTGATGACCAAAACATTATTTGTTCATCCTTCAAAGATGACCCCTATTTATAAACCTGAAAGTTTCAAGATCTAGGAAAACTCACACTTATTTAAAAATATTTTTTCTTTAAACAAATAGAAAATTTCTCTGGCATTTCTTTCTTTTTGCTGTATCGAAAACGTACCGAACCGTGACTTTAAAACCGAGGTACGTACCGAACCGTGATTTTTGTGTACCGTTACACCCCTAATCCGCGGCAACGAGCTCAGCAGCTTGATTTCAAAGACAACATATTTCAGTGCTAGAACGCATCTTTTTTTAACAAACAAATGAAATGAATGCCCTGCTAGTTAACTGGAGATGTTTAGGTACATCCGTGCCGTGAGATGTTTCAGAAAGTGGTGGGGACATGTCCCACCAGTAAATTATGCGTATGTACAGTATAGAGCATATATAGTGCACAGTGCGTGTGAGCTGTGGTTGAAGATCATCTGTCTCATTAGTGTTATGCAGTACAGTGCATGAATGTATTTTTTTATCGATGTGTGTGTGGTGTTCGCATGGCGGTGGGTGGGGGATGGGGGGGTTAATGGAGAACGTTACTGAAGGCCCTGAATGTGGTGCAACCAACGCTCTTCAATATTTTGAATTTGGACTGTGGTACCCATTTCAACCACCATACTGTCAATTTTACATACTGCACCTTTAAATCATGGCCACAATTTAAGCATTTAGAATGTTGTTGTAACTTGTTCCCTCGTTTGGATTTAACTAAAAGAAAGGGAACCAACTATGACTGCTTGGCCATGGTTTAGTAAAAAAGGGGGAGCAAATTCTTAATTTGTGCATGGTTTAACTAAAACAAGAGGATGAATTGGTAGTTTGTGTGCCATACACATATTTTTCTTGGGTTTTGGTGTCTTACAACCAGAGGATAAGGAAAGATACACCCACCAACCAACACACACGGACACATAAGCACACAAATTGAACAGATAAAGATGGAGTGGAGGGCTTCTGCTGCATGTCTGCTTGTTGTCATAAACAGTAAGCCTGTGATGGCCATTACCAGCAAGCTGTCAGAGCAAAATATTGTGAACTGTTAGAATGTGTGAACGTGTACTCTCAGACACCCACATACGAATGCTTTCACGCTCATAAACTCAGACACACCTATGCCTACACACAAACACACATTGACATAAAATAGTTTTCCACTGCAGTGGATGAGACAATGATGGATTTCACACTCCTCATTTCATTTACGGTGTGTGCGATTGTGTGTTTGTGTGTTTGAGAGTGCACCACATTTGGTGAGCTGGCATGTGACTTTCATAAAATACAGCTAATCTGACCTTGATTCCGTCTGTTTAATCTGTGTGAGTTGGGTGTTAAGTTCCAGTGTATCATCTCAAAAATGGATGAAAAAGATGGCGAGATGAGATTTATGATGGAGTGTTGTGGCCTTCTCACATGTATTACCTTCTGAAGGAAGCAAAGAAACCTTATCGCTGAGAATCAGCAAAAGACAGACAAGGAAATAGCGAGACAGTACAGTTGGAATGAACAGAGAGAAGCATTAGACTGATTACCTCTGGGAAAATACAGTGCCAAGATATGTTTAAGATGAGCTATATACTGATACTCAGCCACTTAGATGGTGTTGAACCGATAGACATCTCATCTCACAAACCAATTCTTTCTTAAATCTGAAGAGTGGTTCGGGGCCTATAAGATCGAGTTCCTATTCATGTACTGCACATCAACTCTAGCCACATTTTTTCCAGCCCGTTTGACAAAATTATTTAAATTATTGTATTTATAAATATCATATGTTTAAATTTATTTATACAAATTTAACCATTACATTTATTGTTTTGTTTAATATGTATATAATATATATATATATATATATATATATATATATAGTGGCTTGTAAAAGTATTCAGACCTGTGACAACATTGCAACATTTTTTTTTAAGGAAAAACTTAAATAAGTTGCACAACATTGCACAAGTATTTAAACTCTTAAATCAGTATTTAGTCAAAGCATGCATCTTTACAACCTCGAGTCTTTTTGGATATGATGTGACACATCCCCACATCCGCATTTGACAATTTTAGGCCATTCTTCTCCTCAGATCCTTTCACGCTCAGTCAGGTTGGATGTGGACCGTCGGTGGACAGTTTCTTCAAAAGTTTCTTCAGCAAAAGCTCCATCCCTAACGCACTGCTAAATCTAACCTTCATTGGGGTGAATTAGGTAATAATAATTCATACAAATTCACCACCTATTTGTCTAAATGTAAATTACAGTTAAAAACTGCCGTTAGAGTGTGTTGTTTTATCCTAATTTTATTAACAGTAGTCTAATTGTTTAGTTTGCTGGATGATATTACTTAAAATATGAGATATTAAACATCTACATTTATGCATTTGACAGCAAAATCAAGTACATTCAAACTATATATAAATGCATTCATGCATGTTCCCTTAAAATCAAACCATTAATCCTGATGTTGCTAGTACTTTCTGAGCTACAGGAGCATTATTAGACTTATTATTAGAGAGTCCACATTTGTCACTGAGAGAAAATGTGTGTGCAAAGCCCATAAGCTAATTTGCTCATCATGGATGTCTGAAAAATGTTGAAAGAGCCTATAAGGAGTTCGTTAACTTTCAGTTATATCTGTGACGTAAAGAAAGCAACAGTTGTTTTTTCATGTCTCTGTAGTGTTCCAACACTCCGTCTCTGTCCGTCTGAGAGAGAAATTAATCTACTCACCGTGTAAATCAGGGATGAGTTATCAGTTGTTCCAATTAATCAAAGCAAAATGCAAAGGGCCGAATGCAGCTGGACCAATCAAGGGATGAAAGACGGTTATATTGTGTGCTTTCTGTCATCAACATGCAAATGAAGTTGCATGTTAACATGTGAGGAAATGTTGCCCTCCATGCCCTGTTAATTAGGTTTAAAAAAAAAATTGTAATATGTAAACACAGGTTGTTAAAGGAGACTTTTTAAAGAAGAATTTAGAATATTTTGCTACATAAAGGTGTATGTAAAAAGCGTGAGTATTTAAACTAATTGATTCACTAATATTATTTGAAATTTCCAAAGCTACATGAAAGAGGATATTTTGGGAGAATGTTTGATTATTGCTCCAATTGTAGAGCTGCATGCACAACAGAATGTGACAAAACAGTGTTAAATCAGTGATGTATTGTGATCACTTTATTACTTTTATTTTCTGCCTCTCCTCTTCATCTTACTTTTTTCTCTTGCCCCTTATTTAACACCATAATCTGTAACCTCACATATCTCCTCTCATTTAGAACTGGTGTAATGTGCTGTGGACAACAGAACCTGAATGGGAATAACGAACGATACGGACAAATAAACGAGGAGAGGAAACCCCTCACCCCCCTAATCTCGCTATCTTGGCATCAGACGTTTCCCTAATTTCTAGTCCAGGTGTTTTGAGCTCTAAAATGCTGTCTGGATGTGGACCAGTCTCGTTCAGCCTTTGATTGGAGTGCCTGCTCTTTCCCTGGGCTTCAATAAAATGTTAAATTGACAATGACTCACTCCTCGTGTGGTGCTAATGTCTTCCGAACCCTCAGACATGCCCCTCCAGACCTGTAGACCTTGCGTTAAGAGTGCCTGACCCTGCATTACAGCGTGTCCTTTCTGAGGAATGTTTTCATTTTGCCACTTCTGTCACCTAAATGCGTATCAATTACAAGTTGTAGTCAAGACCACCTAAACTGAGACAAAGTCAAGACCAAGGCTGGGCAAGAATGAACAAAATTCATCTTTGCATTGCAGAATGGCAGTGCAAAGATGATTTTTATAAAATCAATGTCACATTTGCAGTCGCACTTCAAACAGACCTATTGCTCTTATAAAAAAAAAAAAGAGTTGAATCATATCTTGAATTTTGTGGGCATTTGTATTCATTTTGGTGAATTTTTCATTTTTCACCCTGTTCATTTCTGATGTGGCATTTTATTAGTCTAATCACATGAATTATGTCAACAAGTTCATTTGGTGTTTTCATTTAAAAATTTAGAGTCTTAGACAATGAGTCTAAACCGAGACAAGACCAAGACCTTCAAAAAAGATGGAACTCTCACATGGAACTAACATTTAACAAGAACTTAAATGTTGGTCAGAAACTCTTGATATATAGGCTACTGTATATTAGAGGTGCTTACTAAAGCTAACATCACTATTACCATAGTCGACGAGCAGCTTGCCTTTAAATAGACATGAACGCTTACTCAAATTATGAGGTTTAGGGATGCTTTCTTTCGATCTGAGCCTGTAGATTACCACCTAGGACGTAGAAACACACGGGCAAATGTCCTGGTAACAACCCAAAACATCCTAGTAACTGCATAGCAATTCACTGGCAGCCACCCACAACATCATAACATCTTGGCAGCAGCGACAGACAAAACCACTCTAAAAATCTAGTTTTATTAAGTCACATTAAGGACACATTTCATTCAATTAAACCATTGTTTTACGCAAATAATGCAGGTGTTTCACATCACACTGTTTTGAGCATTGTAGCAACCTGGAAAACAAACTAACAAATAAGACAAATAAGAACCAGTGCTGTTTTATAATTCTGGTATTATCTCTGAAGACCCAGTGTGACTGTGTGTTTGTGTGTCTCTCTCTCTCTCTCTCTCATCCTTGAACCTACACAACTCTAAATGACTTTCATTTTACATAACCTGACTGTTTCTTAATGTTTCTTAAGGTTATTTTAAGCTTGCTGACATAACAGTCTTTTTTAGCTCTTGGTCTGAAGTCAGTTGTCTGGACTTTAATAATGTGATCTGCCATGCAAGACCACATTTCCTTGTCTCTCTCTTATCTGTCCTTTCTGTAATTCCCTTTCTTTCTTTTTCTTTCTTTCTTTCTTTCTTTCTTTCTTTCTTTCTTTCTTTCTTTCTTTCTTTCTTTCTTTCTTTCTTTCTTTTTCTTTCTTTCTTTCTTTTTCTTTCTTTCTTTCTTTCTTTCTTTCTTTCTTTCTTTCTTTCTTTCTTTCTTTCTTTCTTTCTTTCTTTCTTTCTTTTTCTTCATGTGTTTTATTAAAGATGTTTTCAAAGCAATCTCTCTCTCTGTATATTTCCAGATTATGCCTGGCCATTGCCCAGTGCTCTCTGTCCTATTTGGATATATCTGGACGTGCTATTCTCCACCGCTTCCATCATGCACCTGTGTGCCATTTCCCTCGACCGCTACGTGGCCATACGTAATCCGATTGAGCACAGTCGCTTCAACTCCCGCACCAAGGCCATGCTGAAGATCGCTGCGGTTTGGACCATTTCAATAGGTCAGAGAAACATTTATAATATCATTGATTATTTCTAACAAAATGGTGCGGCAATCCCAGATAACCAGCAGCCTGAAAATCCTGCAGGAGAAAAGAACGGACAAACAACATTATTTTCCAATGACAGTAGAGGTCTTTAGATTGAACAGTTGTTCCATGAAGTCAATGTCAGTCCACTGCAATCCTCTTAAATCTATTACTGGTATGTGTTCATATCTCACAGGACTCCTCAGAATGCCAGATTATTTTTTTAAGGCTCCAGCTGGGTCTAAGAGGCCCGTCAGATCAGCAACAATGGGACTGATTTGAAATGACATTGTATAAACAAGCACCGGTTTAGTGATTGGGGTGATTTTCTCTTTCACCAGAGCAGCTCCTCTAAATTCAGAGTAGCTTAGATTAATTTAATGTTTGTGGTCTGGTAATCACATAGAGAAGATCACCACCTATGGTTCAATAAAGCAAACCACAGCCTGCCATTGTGAGTGGAATGATAAAGGATTGGCATGCTTCTGCATTAGCGCCCTCTATAGTCGTGTGACTCTAATACAGAGTGACCATGACTGATCTGATCCAATAACAGTTGAAGGATTATCTGAATTTATTGATTGATTTATACAACTGGTGTTTGAAGGATAAATTATTTTAGTGGACTTATTTATAGCTGTTTTTCTTTGAAATTAATGTAAGCCTAAATGCTCTCTTGGACATAGTGTCTCTTTCTCTCACGCACATAGGCTTTCCCCTCTATTGTTTCCATCTCAGAGGTTTTTTTTTTTGCGATACTATTATTGTATTTATTAATATTTTTAATGCATTTTTATTGATATAAAGTTATTTTTTATTTATTCAGATAGTTGCCAAGGCAATTCATTCCGGTTATATTACATATTTATATTTTAATTTATTTCAGTTTTTCTTCCAGCTAAAAAAAAATTTAAAAAAAGATGTTTTTCGTCCTTTTATGTTTCTCTTTGTCTCCTGTTCATCTCTTTAACATCAGTTAGATGACGCAATCTACTCCTAACCCTACCCCAGACCTAAACCTACCTCCATCATCTAACTAACTCGAAAGGTAAAGTGTCAGTTACTGTAGATGACGCCCTAGGATAGCGTCATCTAACTGACGTACCCAAAAATGTCGAATGTTGACGTCAAAAGCGTCAGTTAGATGACGTCTTGGGATGAGAATGTGTTGAGAGTGCAGATGACAGAGAGCTCACACATCTAACCTCTCTCTTGTTTGAACTTGAGCCCAATGTTTATTTGATTCTATCTGGGTCCAAAACAGCATTAAGGTTTCTATCTGCCTTGACAGTATCATTCATCTGCTCTAATTAAATAAAATCTTCTCTCTCTCGACCATCAGGAATACTGATCTACTCGGATAAGACGAGAGAAGATTTGTCTCAGACTTTGTTGGTCAGACTGTTTCTTTGGTGTTTACGTATATTTGTTCCCTTTTCCCCAACTCCAGGTATCTCAATGCCTATCCCAGTGATCGGACTGCGTAACAGAGATAAGGTCCTTATCAACGACAACTGTGCTCTGAACGAGGAACGCTTCATACTGGTTGGCTCTTTTGTTGCTTTCTTCATTCCTCTGGTCATCATGGTGGTCACGTATTGTCTCACTGTCCAAGCGCTTCAGCGTCAGGCCACAGTCTTCCTCTACGAGGGCAAAGCCTCTTCTCAGCAGCCATTGCAGCCTCCAGCTCCATCCACTTCCCAGTTGGAGCCGTCGTCGGCTCCGTCACGTCGCAGCAGTCTGAACTGTCTACGGATCAGCAACAGCGATGGAAACGCGCTCGGTCTGACCGTGCCCCCGGACACCATCTCAATAATCCCGGGTTCAGAAGCGGCGTCTCAAATGAATTCGCCCACTGGACGGGACCCGGGTGGAGCCCGCGGGCGGCGAGGCATGATGCAGGCCATCAAGAACGAGCGGCGAGCATCCAAAGTGTTGGGTGTGGTGTTCTTCCTCTTCCTTTTCATGTGGTGTCCCTTTTTCATCACTAACGTTCTGTATGTCCTCTGCCGTGGAGCCTGTAACGAGCCTCTGCTCACGGAACTGCTCAACGTTTTCGTTTGGGTAGGTTACATCTCATCAGGTGTCAACCCTTTAGTGTACACTTTGTTTAACAAGACCTACCGAAGGGCATTTTCAAGCTACTTGCACTGCCAGTACAGACAGGTGGGGCTTAAACCCATCGCTATACACGTTCCTTGTCCATCCCATGCTGTTACGCCTATCCTGATCTGCGAAAAAGTTCAGATTGACCGGAACAGTAACTGCCGCAATGGGGACGGGAACGGAATCCGAAATCTGGAGCCCCATGACATGGACAATGACCCCGGGCTGGAGCTGAAACTGGGAAAATCAGAGCTCTCCATTAGCAGCGGTCACAATCACACAGAACACACCAGCAGTGTCTGAAAAATATCTTTTAGTTTGACCTGGAACATAGGACAGGTGTGACAGAGCTGCAAGTAATGCTTAGATCTTCAGATGTCACACTTACAAGAAAGTGTAACTCTTATCGACTGTAACAGCATAGAATGTGCTGAGTTAGCTACAGAAACAATAATCTGACCAAGGTCGGAAAAGGGAGATGGAATGTAATGTGCGTGTGCGTGTGTGTTAACAGGTTCAGATGTTTGAATGCCATTAAGTACTGCATGAGCACCCGGTTTTTTACTAAAGCAGCATTGGACATTATGAGACAGCAGTTCGTGTAAGATAGAGTCATAGCATCCTCATGTGGTCAGTTGAAAAATTACAAAAAAACATGGTGTGAATCCAAAAAAGAGTTACTTGTCATCCAAGCTTGTTGCATTACAATATGGATGAAGCTATGCTATTTACGAGTCAGATCATTGTTTGTGTAACTTGTAAACACCTTCAGTACGATATGCTGAATTCTTTGAGTGGCAGTAAAATGATTATACAGTTGGGGGGTACATCTTATTTCCTGGCAATACATAAGAAATGACTGCAAACCTATAGCAACCCAGCAAACCAGTCCTAACAGAACAATGGGGTTTTTTACACTGTAACAAAATTACACTGTAAAGGCGGCACAGAAACGCTTTTGAAGTGGTGATAGGTGTCTTTACACAAACTGTATAATTCTGCTCATAGGGGGAATAGATCTATTTACACGGCAATTTTAATAATATACATTTATAGTAGGGGATAAGGTGGGTCAGAGCAGGCATAATTTAGTCTGGCTTTTGTGCAGCATTACGAATTTACACAGAATTTTGAGCAGGCACTGAGCAGCCTTAAATCAGTTGTGCAAAGATGCCTATACTTAACATAAAACTTTGATCAACATAAAACTTTGCATCTTTAATACTATGTAATGCAGTTTGAGGTTTAGTCCAGTTCAAACTGCTTCTCAAGGATTTCTTTTTAGAAGGTATTAAAGTGATTTGCCTCTAGCTCTGGGGAACATGCTGTCCTGTGAATGTAAGGCTAGATGTGTGCTGCCTCAAGTGGTCATAACAGAATGAGAGAAGCAGCAAAAGTGCACAACAGAAAAGAGTACTAAAACATTTTTTTATTTTTTATGGAAGAATGGCAACAGATGTTGGTCAGTAAGACCAAAAATGCTTATTTGAGGATGTCTAGGGATATATAATGTATAAAGCTGTACATAATTGCTGTTTTCCTGTGTAGAACCTTAGAATTTATCATATCACCTGCCCTTGTTTAAACTCCCACTTCATTTTTATACCATTGCCTGTAAATGTTTTTCCAGATCTTTTTTTTTTTTTGTAAAAAAACTCCCACCATCCTCACAATGTTATGATTTGGCGAAGCTGCTATTTATTTAATTAAAAAAACTATTATCATTCATTCTGCAATACACCTCACTGTGGTGGTCATTGTGTTTGTAAAGTTTTGTAGATTTAAATCTCTAAGAGTTTGGGTACATCTACCTGCAATGGAATCAAATTGATTCCAGGACCATGGACAGCGCCAGATGCATCAGTGGGTGGGAAATCTATACATCTTTAACACAAATACATTAAAATCGTTTTGTGGAAATGATATCTATAAGCCATATGTTTAGATATTTTACCTCAGACTAGAAAAAACAATTCATTTTATAAATTACAGTTTAATTATACACTAGCATGGAATTCATGTCAGTAAATTATATAATGTTAATACCTCTTTTACAAACTCTTAAAATTATTGTGGTGTAAACTGCTGACAATAACACAGGTTGTAAAATTAAAAGCCACACAATGACGTAAAGTTAATCAAAATTGTGCTTAAATGCAAGTATTTCCTTGTTATATGTTTTATTATTAATTTATAATATTAAGTAAAATAAATTTAAAAAAATAATAATAAAATAAATTGTGTGTGTGTATATATATATATATATATATATATGATCACGTATATATATATATATATATATATATATATATATATATATATACATAGGCAATACTTGTATTTATGTTTGTGTATTCATATATATTTAAGTGTAGCATCATATAGCCTGCCTACTTAACGGTGCTGCCATCTTCTGATAGAAATACAAATGTACAGAATGAGAAATTATGCATAGGTCAACTCTGTTTAAAAAAGCCCATTAATTTGTCTTTACCTGTTTGTGCTTATAATGGGTTCAGCCTTAAAGCATTTGTCAAACGACAGTAGCCTACATAATGGAACAACGCAATGCAATGACGGTTCTCAGTGTTATTTTGTAAAGATGAGGTAAAGAGCTAATTATTTTCTTCCTCTGCTGCTCCAGTCGGTCCTTATTTTGGTGGGAGGTGGTCACGGCTACAGTCTGCGCATGCGCGCAGGGCAGCGTTTATCTTGCTCTAGCAGAAGACTCTCGACGCTGTCAAGGAAACGCGCACGCTGGGCGCATCGTTCCGAGATTTACAAACAACTGAACCTGTCTCGCCTACCGTTATTCATATAGCCGTTGCAGATATTAGGCGTTGAGCGACGCCTGCGATGTAACTATACAGTGGAAGATAAACATACGGACCGAAACCAGAGAGACGCCGCGCCAGTGCTTGATATACACAGGTAAAACGGTCTTTTAATCGGTTTTGCATCTCTCATGGGCTTGGACAAAGCTGAGCTGCTAACGCTAACATCGCGCGCAAGTGCTCTGTTTTGATCACGTAAAAAGGCTGTCACTGTGGTGTGTTTTGTTATGTGTATTATTGCTGTAACAAGGATTAATGTGATGCCGTGAAAATATTCGTAACATATGGAGTGGGCATTTTATTATTATTTGCTTTGGCGAGAAATCATGTGGTAACGTTACTAAGAAATGAAATATGTTGCCAATTGAGACTGGTAACTTTATTAGGGACTGCGACGTTGTACGTCCATATTTTGTTTACATAATTTATAATAGGTCGGTCTAGTTTGCCCAAGGGCTTGCTGTCTCCAGAATAAAATATTATGTTTGTGTGAGTGAGAGTGTGAGTGATATTTCTTGCATTTATCTACAAAAACAAAAGTATGATAATTATTAACACAAAAATAATGGATTATCTTCTTTTTGTCTTTGTTTATTTTTTCTGTCCACCCAAAGTCTGTCCATTTTTTCATATAATTATATTCTCTCAGTTTTCAGACTCCTCAGTCTCAATTAGGGCATATCTGGTTTTGAGTAAATGTTGGACCCTTCACTTTAATCTCTTTACCAACATTTGTTGCATATACGTTGCATTTCTTATGAGCCTAAATAATAGCTTTTTTATTCAGAAATGATGTCAATCAATCTCAACATTATTATTTTTTTGTGAAAACATCTCCAGGGCCCCCAAATACTGCCCCAGACAGAGGGTGTCAATTTGATCATGTTAGCCCAAGTAAATGATGTGTGTCCACTGTCTAGCGTTCTCACCAACTCTAAAACGCCCCCCTTGATTGTAACGGATCGGAATGGATCTGTTTTCTTCAACTATAGCATTGATGTCAATTCGGTAAATGTACTGAATGGACATGTTCACTTTAACGTCCAAGTCAAGTCTCAACTCAAATTTCTGTTTAGCTGAAATGTACTGTCTGTATTTGTACAGCAGGCCACCTCTCTGCTTTGTTGTGTTTTTGTGTGCAAATGTGTTTGTGAGCAATGCCTATGTAAAAGTGCTGTTTGCTGCTATTTTGCCTTTGCCTTTTGTTACCCTACACCAAAAAAAGAAAATGCAAGCATGGCCTGTCTTTTGAGCCCATCGAAAAGGGCTTTCTAGGTCACGCTACATATCAGGATACTAGACAGCTGGATTAAACCAGTGCCTGTCTCATTTTCATCCTTTATTCACTTCTGTTGTCAACATGAGTAGGTACTTTAAATCATTTGTTTCCGGTTTTGTGAGTCTGTTTTACCAGCCTGCTTACTCAGCAATTTCAGGCAGCAGTAGGCATGATCGATGCTATGTCGTTGCAGTTACTTTACATGGGTGGTCGGTGGTCATCATCGATGTTGTGAATCAATCCACTTCTGTACAGTGTCATCAATCTCAGACTGCTGGTCTGGATGTAGACGGTGTTAAACAGTGTTCGACCGTACACCGATTACTTGGCCATCGCGACACCGCCCCTATTGTTGTTTAGATTTTTTATAAAAATAAAAACCATTTAGTTCAGTTGGACAAAGGACTCTATAAAATAAAAGGGCCCTATTTTAACGATCTTAGTCTTTAGTATAAGTCTAAAGCGCACGGCGCAAGTCCACTTTTGCTAGTTTAACGAATTGTTTGGCACACTCGGCGCATGGTCTAAAAGGGTTGTCCCTATTCTATTACCAATCAGAGTCTCGACGCTGAAACTAGCAAACACTTTCGACGCGCCGAGTGTATGATAGGGCCCAAAGAGTCGTAGCAGGATTTCAGATAGATTTCACCTTTCTGAAAGGAGAGATGACTGACAAGATTATGGCAGAGAACTTGCACAACATATTGTCATTGACAAACATCTTATCTTGTAAAATGTGCATTCAGTACTCCCTATACACAGAGTATGTGTGATCACAAGCTCAAAAGCTAAAGTAAAAAGCGAGCGAATGGTCGATTAGTTGTCCATCAACCAAGTTGGTTGTCTAAAAATGTTGTAACAAATATGCTGTCTTCAGTAATGCATTTCAAGATGGTTATTGTCTGATGTCAAATTGCATGCTGTAAAAAATGTTGTGTTTTTTTTGCATCTTATTCCATAAATCTATGATTTTTAGTACAAGTTTTGTGCACTGACCCTGAATTGACCTAATTATGTAGAAAAGGCTTAACTGGAAGCAACTTGAACAGGAATTTCATTCTTAAAAGGCCAATGTTTGGTCTCAAGATGCAAACCAGTAATCTTTTTTTTCTAAGGCTTAAATGTCCTAAACTTAGACCTAATTCTGACTTAAACCGGACCTTAAAGTCTCTATGTAATGGAAGTTGAAGAAAAAGAAAAAAACACATACATGGATGAATCGTTCACAACACCACACTTTTTAAGAAAATAAATGAAATTGCATTCATTTTCATTTCATGCTGACTTTAAGCTTTGGTTTGAATATCAAACTGAAGTAATCAATCTTTTGGGTCTTCTCTGGGCTGAAGGTTTCACCATCTCTAATCTGCCCATAGCCATATTTCACTGTCCAGTTAGCCCACCGCCATCTCTCCAAACACCCCCGTTTATTTTTCCTGTTAGCCTGCCCCCTTTACACAGATGAAGGGGTCCATCCATGTCCTAATAAATCTACTGGAACTTCAGATACAAAGCAGGTCACAGATCAGAGCAGTCCTCAAAGCACTGGCTCCAGGGAGTGACCCCTTTTGCTCCAAGCCATATCCAGCCAGGGGTTCATGCACAGGGAAACCAGCTAGGTCACATGGTGTCCTGGCTGATTTGTTCCGATTGTGCTGAATGCAGCACATTTAATTGTGTGTGATGGAGTGAGAAGAGTTCATGGGAGAGGGACAGAGAGAGAGCGTTGCTAACCCTCAAGCCCACCCAGTTTAACAAATGAACTCTTTATGTTAAAGTTTGGGCTTTAGGGACCCTTTTTTTATCTAACTGTACAGCTTATGATACCATCAAAATCAGAGCTTTTGATTAATTGATTATTTAATCTGTCTGGAGCAAGATTGATATATTAACAAAGAGTAAACCAAAACAATTAAAACATTTGCATCTGTTTAATTAAAATAAAACATAAATAGTAGATAGTAGAAAACTAAATATAAAATGTGGCTTGTGCTAAATGTTCTATTTAATTTGTTTTGCTGTCGTACGAGCTTGCAGGCAATTTTTCTCTCGGGAGAAATCTTGTCTAAATTGTTGGTGCTTGTGTGGTTGTGTGAGCGGAAATACTAGCCAAGCTCAGTATGTTACGATCACTTGTATTTTCATATGTTTATTCTCAGTTTTCAGACTCCTCAGTCTGAATTAGGGCCTACCTGGTTTTGAGTAAATGTAAATGTTGGAAATTCCCCAGACTCCAGAGGGTGTCAATTTGATCATGTTTACAGTACGTTTAAAAAATCGAAAGTTTACCAGTGTATAGGCTGTCCCAACATACACAACCACATCACATAGGCTAGATCTATGAATATAATTAGCAGTGGCTGCGACCATTCACTGACACACACAAGTCGGACTCGGAACGATAGTAGCAATGAAACCGAAATCGCAGTGTATGAAAATAAATAAAAACTGAAAAAAAAAATACAAATTTAACCATATTTAAACCACATGAAAATGTAAACATGAAAACAAATGAATAAAGACAATAATAGAAGGTCAAAAATATCATAAAACTAAAATAGCACTTTTCTGAGGTCATTGATCTTGAAGGGAATAATGTGCATTTTGTTCTGTCTTTCTGCGAGGAA